TTCTCGTTTTTCTTGTTTCTTTTCTTTTTCCTCTAACAACTGTTGTAATTTCTCTTCTCGTTCTTCTTGTTTCTTTTCTTTTTCCTCTAACAACTGTTGTAATTTCTCTTCTCGTTCTTCTTGTTTCTTTTCTTTTTCCTCTAACAACTGTTGTAATTTCTCTTCTCGTTCTTCTTGTTTCTTTTCTTTTTCCTCTAACAACTGTTGTAATTTCTCTTCTCGTTCTTCTTTTTTCTTTTCTTGTTTATTTTGTTGTTCGAGCTGCCATTGTTGCAGGTTTTCTTGCAACTGCTGTTGTCTCTCTTCTTGTTTCTTTTGCTGTTCTTGTATTGCTGCCATCAAATCTGCTAAACTGTAGTTTGATTTGCTGCTTCTCGTTTCCATTTTTTTTTTGGTTCCACTTCTGACACCAATTTGTTACGTCTCAGTTCGTTAATTAACTTTCCGTAACTTCGTTCCGACGAAACTTTAGCGACACAAATCCTTACTTAATAAAACTGATTTATTCTTTCCGAATACAACTTTACGATACACTTATTTTCAACAATCACGCTAAAACAAACGCTATATCAACGAACGTCAACAATACTTCAGACTGCAGTTCAATTACTCACTATCTACACACACATTATCTTCCCGTCACGTTGTCACCCTCTTTTATATACCACACTACCCTATATCTAGTAAATACTAGAGCATTCGCCAAAGTACAGGATAGTTCTAGAAAGTAGAGGGCGTGAGAATCACATGATCTCGATGACGCAACAATATATAAGAGGGTGACAACGTGACGGGACAATATTGTGTCACAGGGTATTGTTGAAGTTAACGTTCGTTCGTTATAGTGTTTGTTTTAGCGCGAATGTTGAAATAAGTGTATCGGTAAAGTTATATTCAGAAAAAATAAACCAGTTTTATTAAGTAAGGACTTGTGTCGCTAAAGTTTCGTCGGAACGAAGTTACGGAAAAATCAATTAACAAACGGAGACGTAACAAATTGATGTCAGAAGTGGAACGAAAAAAAAATGGAAACGAGAAGCGGCAAATCAAACTACAGCATAGCAGACTTGATGGCAGCAATACAAGAACAGCAAAAGAAACAAGAAGAACGAGAAGAGAAATTACAACAGTTGTTAGAGGAAAAAGAAAAGAAACAAGAAGAACGAGAAATTAAAGAAGAAAAGAAACAAGAAGAGAAATTACAACAGTTGTTAGAGGAAAAAGAAAAGAAACAAGAAGAACGAGAAGAGAAATTACAACAGTTGTTAGAGGAAAAAGAAAAGAAACAAGAAGAACGAGAAATTAAACAAGTAGAGAGATTACAGCAGTTGTTAGAGGAAATAGAAAAGAAAAAGAGACAACAGCAGTTGCAAGAAAACCTGTAACAGTGGCAGCTCGAACAGCAAAATAAACAAGAGAGATTACAGCAGTTGTTGGAGGAAAAAGAAACAAGAAGAGAAATTACAACAGTTGTTAGAGGAAAAAGAAAAGAAACAAGAAGAACGAGAAGAGAAATTACAACAGTTGTTAGAGGAAAAAGAAAAGAAACAAGAAGAACGAGAAATTAAATTACAACAGTTGTTAGAG